AAAATCGCGGATCCGATCGATTTTGCCTCATCTAACCGCGAAAAACTTCATTTTTTCCTGTTTTTACTTTCTTAATGCTCCTTGGACTGGAGTTTTCGTACGATTGTAGTTTTTTTTTGTGTTCACTACACTGCAAAGAATAAAGTTAAACATCTGTTTTACTTTATTCGCAATAGATCATGAACAAATGAATTTTGAATTTCGTAAATTTTTTGCGTCTCTAGAGTAGAGTAAAATTGTTATCAACGGTAAATATCTAGTAATGTTGAAGCTCTCGCGGTGTTACATACGAGCCTTCAATTTCGGAACAAAACAACTTCGAACCTCAAAAATAGATGATAATTATTTCTATTCACACAACGAATTACGTAAATTAGAAATTTGATGAATGCAATTTGTCCCGTAATGATGGTCATCCCATCCTCCACGTGTTCACGAGCATGAAAATTATTTCTGAGTCCATCCACCAAATTTCGACGTTCCCTCCCGTCGTCAGGAATTCACGTCGTTTCATGCATCCCTCTCTGGTTACCCACCCCCTTTCGTTAACCCTCATACAGTGAATTTCACGTACCGGTGAATCAATTTGTGTTCACCCTAACAAAATATTATTGCGTAGGATGTAAAATATTTTTCATCATTCCGGCCGTAAGGCTGCGCTTGCTGCCTACGCCCATTATGACTGAAAATATCATTCGACATACGGCGTAAAAAAACTTTTCTAACTCATATGATTGCAACCCTCGCCTTCGGCTCAGGCTGCAAACTCATATTCGCCAGAAAAAATTTTTTTAGCCTAATGACAAAACATACTAGTTCTTACTATCTGAATGTCAATTCTCGATTCCCGTCCATTGGGGTTTGATCAAATAAAATCATGGCAGAATCAATAAACAGAAGGCTCTGATGGATGGAACTTTGGAAGAATGTAAATTAATGGGAAGTGGACAATTTTTAGAGAGATAATTCTCGGTTAGCGTGGCGTACAGCAAGATAACGCTGCAAGATCTGCCCCAACGTAATTTATAGCCTTGACTAATTAGCTACGTGGAAATTACATTCGCTTCATGACGCGCAATAGTATTTATCCCCAGTGTATACCAGGGCACGTAGACTACGAATGAAAGGTGGGTAGTTGCAAAGTCAACTATCATATCAAGCGAACTTATGTGGAAACTGAAATCTTCAATACTTCACCTAAAAAAGAAAGGGCTTTTTGAAGTCCACGTTGAGGTGATTCTAGTGAATTTTTTAACAAATCACACTGATACGGTTTCGATATTCAGCGAGATCACCCTAGTAGAAATCAAATGTCCGAGTGCCGTCGCCCGGATTTTCCAGGGGCGACTCTCGTATAGCATACGTAGGGCTAATGGCGGAACGTCCCTGCTAGCGCGCCCAATATCCCAGGTAAGAATTCAACGGCTCGACGATGGGGCCAAACTTGGGGAACCTTGTTTCCCTGAGGCTCGGCAATATGAGTATCGATACAGGCCTGAACCAGCCTTTGCTTGTTGAGGCTGGGACATATCAGGCTCAGTCCAGGCTCAGGTGAGCCCAAACCCATTGGGCCTCAACAAACTAAGCTTATACTCAGGCTTGGTCGAGGCTTGATCCATTTAGGCTAAGTTAAGACCCCTTAGAATACCCTCGGAAGACCTTGGCTTTTTTCAGGCTGCTTAGCCCAAGGCTCGAATCAGTATTGGCTTGGTAAGGATGATACGTACCAAGCTGAACTCAGGCTTAGATAAGCCTCGGCGCACTGAGTCTACAGAGACTAAGCTTATACTTAGATTCAGTAGAAGCTGAATCCAGTGACCCGAAGATAAGGATCGTTCATACCAGGCTGACCTAAAGCTTGAGTAAGCGTCTTGACTGAGACCAAATGGACCAAGTCCATACTTAGGTTCGGGCGTTGCTTGATCTAGTGATGCCAAGTTAAAAGCCTTTGGAATACTCTCGGGAGCACCTGTTTTTAAAAAATCTCTAGTCATTGTTTAGAATAATTTCGTCTGGAGAGAACTATCAATTTTGTGAATTCATTATGGTATTATGGCTCAGTGACACAAGCCTGGAGCAGTCTTGATCTTAGCTATCACTTCAGCCTGAAATGAGGGTGATAAATGGGGCTTTTGGGGAGCATTAATTCAGGCTTGGAGTATTGAGGCTGAATACGGAAAGGCTCACCCAAGGCTCAACCAAGGTTATCTTACAACCAATTGTTACCTTTCTTGTCAATAATTTCACAGGGGAGAGTAGGGCAAAACGGACCTGGAGGGCAAAACGGACCACTGACAGAAAATTGGTAATTTTTGTTTTTTTTTCCTTTCTTTCAAATCAGGAACACTGAATGTGCTGAATTAAAAGTGAGTTTCTTGGATCCTAACCGTCACAGGANCGCGCAATAGTATTTATCCCCAGTGTATACCAGGGCACGTAGACTACGAATGAAAGGTGGGTAGTTGCAAAGTCAACTATCATATCAAGCGAACTTATGTGGAAACTGAAATCTTCAATACTTCACCTAAAAAAGAAAGGGCTTTTTGAAGTCCACGTTGAGGTGATTCTAGTGAATTTTTTAACAAATCACACTGATACGGTTTCGATATTCAGCGAGATCACCCTAGTAGAAATCAAATGTCCGAGTGCCGTCGCCCGGATTTTCCAGGGGCGACTCTCGTATAGCATACGTAGGGCTAATGGCGGAACGTCCCTGCTAGCGCGCCCAATATCCCAGGTAAGAATTCAACGGCTCGACGATGGGGCCAAACTTGGGGAACCTTGTTTCCCTGAGGCTCGGCAATATGAGTATCGATACAGGCCTGAACCAGCCTTTGCTTGTTGAGGCTGGGACATATCAGGCTCAGTCCAGGCTCAGGTGAGCCCAAACCCATTGGGCCTCAACAAACTAAGCTTATACTCAGGCTTGGTCGAGGCTTGATCCATTTAGGCTAAGTTAAGACCCCTTAGAATACCCTCGGAAGACCTTGGCTTTTTTCAGGCTGCTTAGCCCAAGGCTCGAATCAGTATTGGCTTGGTAAGGATGATACGTACCAAGCTGAACTCAGGCTTAGATAAGCCTCGGCGCACTGAGTCTACAGAGACTAAGCTTATACTTAGATTCAGTAGAAGCTGAATCCAGTGACCCGAAGATAAGGATCGTTCATACCAGGCTGACCTAAAGCTTGAGTAAGCGTCTTGACTGAGACCAAATGGACCAAGTCCATACTTAGGTTCGGGCGTTGCTTGATCTAGTGATGCCAAGTTAAAAGCCTTTGGAATACTCTCGGGAGCACCTGTTTTTAAAAAATCTCTAGTCATTGTTTAGAATAATTTCGTCTGGAGAGAACTATCAATTTTGTGAATTCATTATGGTATTATGGCTCAGTGACACAAGCCTGGAGCAGTCTTGATCTTAGCTATCACTTCAGCCTGAAATGAGGGTGATAAATGGGGCTTTTGGGGAGCATTAATTCAGGCTTGGAGTATTGAGGCTGAATACGGAAAGGCTCACCCAAGGCTCAACCAAGGTTATCTTACAACCAATTGTTACCTTTCTTGTCAATAATTTCACAGGGGAGAGTAGGGCAAAACGGACCTGGAGGGCAAAACGGACCACTGACAGAAAATTGGTAATTTTTGTTTTTTTTTCCTTTCTTTCAAATCAGGAACACTGAATGTGCTGAATTAAAAGTGAGTTTCTTGGATCCTAACCGTCACAGGAGTTTTATAGACAACAAGTGTCGTTGAACCGCAATTTGATCAGATTTGCTAATCACCTCAAAAATTATCAATTGGCTGTCAGTGGTCCGTTTTGCCCTGCGGTCTGTTTTGCTTGCCTGCTCCGTTTTGCTCTACCCTCCCCTATTTATCAACGAAGAAAAGTCTCTCTATCCAGTCAATAGGTATTACCGTGACCTCCCATCAAACCAACCGAGCTAGATCTGGACAAGGCTTGCGGCAGCCGGTGGCAAGAAAGGCTTTCCAAATTTCGTTAAAAAAATGAATTAATTAGTTTTTGATTCATTAATATATTGGAATACAAAAAAAATCGTTGTTAATAGTTGAAACGGAGAAACAAATACAATACACGCCCAGTACTTCTTAGACCAAAATGAAATACTATCTTTCGACAATTGTCCAAATGGCCAAGTGGATAAGGCCTCGGACTACAGATCAGAAACACTTAGAATGGAATCCCGGCGGATGCAATTCTTTCTTCCTTTCTTTTGATAATGGACGTTATGGGATAATCAGCAATCGTTAAATTAATGGTGAATTAATTAATCAGTTGATCGTTTCATATATGACCCCCATTTCATCCTTATATTACCCCGACATGACTCTATATGACCCTTATTTCGACCCTCATTCTCATCCCCTTTATCTTACTCTTATCCGAACCCTACTTCTCACCTTTAACCTGATCCTTATCGTGACCCTAATTCTGACCATATTCCTGACCCATATACTGAACCTATCCAGACTCTTGCAACCCTTGTTTTCGAGTCTTAATTTTTCATCTTATTTTTTACCGTCGGAACATGACCCCCACATCATCCCTATATGACCGGTATTCTGAGCATTACCGGGACCCTAATTCCAACCCATGTGGCCCTTGGTTTCGAGTCTTAATTGTTCGTCTTAATTTTCTATCATCAGAAGTCGATTTGGAATTTTATAATATAGAGAGATACAAAGTCTGCAATATTCATCGATGACAATGTTCTGTTATTCATACTAAACAGCAAAACATCGAGAAAGCAGGCGTTCATACCATCAACTCCATAAACATGGATGACTATTACCAATTACCATCATGTTCGCGTCGCAAAACTTGTTAGCATTCGTTCTTTTCACTATCGTACCACACGATTGACACCTCCTATGTTGACTCGTATTGTCGTAGAAAACGATAAACAGCGCGACTGCTGACGCATTCGATAACAGTGTAATGCCTTCGGAATCCATGAATGGAATAGTTGAACTTCATATCGAAGATGTATTCCATATTCTTTCTGTCAATTATCCATCTGAGTGTGTTCGACGGGGCATCCTGTCAGGATAATCCTGAGACCCTCATCATTCTCACTCTGTCGCCGGTACAACAAAAAGAGCCAACGAGAGAAATAGGTGTATATTTCTACTGCCCTGGATGCGCTTCTAGCGAGACTTTAACAGTATATGATCAGAATCAACAAACTTTTGAAAGCACCATCACTGATGTCAGTGGATTCATGAAGACCGGTCTTCAGGCATCGCCGGAAACGTTCCGTAAGTTTCTCAAATCCTCAAGAAACCATGAAATCTATTCAAAACTAAGGAAATTCCACTTATTTCCGTGCGTATTCGTTCTTTAGCCGTCTCTAACATGATAGATAACCTAACATTTTCGATGTCCAGAAAAAATTGAATCACTACGAAACTTATTGGCTTCCGTTGTATAGCATGCAGGCCCGCACAAACGATAAACCCATATTCATCACGAACTATTGAATTATTTAATTTACTTGCAGCTAACTTCACCGCGCAGATCCTGCGAGATGGAAAACAGATATACTCTACTCGTGGTATAGATCGAGCCAACTGGATGCATGATAATAAATCGTTACTGAAACACCTCTCCTTACCTCAACTTGTGATACCAGGGACGCATCAATCGGGTGCCTACGAACGTCCGGATAACTTAGGCATATGGAACCTCTGTCAGGTTTGTAGTTTGCTTCATTCATCGAAGCGGACAACTTTATAATTGCAATATCATGTAGGATCTGTCGATAGAAGAACAATTAGACTTAGGCATACGTTACCTCGACATCCAGCCATCATGCGAGAGAGTCAAAAACCAATGTAAATCCTTCTACGTCGAGTACTCCTTATTGAAGATGATGTCCATGGGTGAAGTCTTCTCCGAGATGAAGGCATTCCTGAACCGGACTAACGAAATAGTGATACTTTCGTTCAGTGACTTCTCGAGCGAGTTCCAGAGTGATGAAGATCACGGGAGATTTATGAAGTACATCAAGAAGGAGTTAGGAGACTATCTGTATCCACTCAATACCACTTCTCGCGGTTGGTCCACTTCTTTAAAAAAAATTTGGTCAGCAGAAAAAAGAGTTGTCGTCTCGTATAATTACCGAGGGCCAGTAGATCCAGTCTTCGGAACTGGAGTTGAGCAGTCGTGGTGCTATTGTAAGAGATCAGATGATCTGCACGTCTTCTTTGCTGATCCGCAGAAACGGGAGGAGTGGTAATTATTAGTCAGGAGTTGTGATTCCATGGTTTCTAGTTGATAATTCTAGATTCGCCTGAGTGGTCTTCAGCAATGTTGTAAATCTGTAATTGAATGATGGAGGACCTTCTTGTTGATGACTCGGGGATTCATGTCATGAGTCATTGCGGATTCTTGTCATGAGTCATTGACAAGAATTCATTCTTTCATCTAATTATCTATTTTCAAAATTGCTGAAGCCCAATCAACAGTCATCAACTCAAAATTAAATGCTTCAACAGTCGAAAAATCTCAAAGGAAATTTATGATTTCATTTCAATTGATATAGTCTAATGTTACACCATTTCGATTTGATAATCCGCAGGGCGAGCAGAACATCACCAAGCGTAGATGTAGTTCAATTGACTCCTGATTGGGAGATGATTGTGCCTCAAGATTCTATGGAATCCGATTCTCCATTCAATTTTAAAGCATGGACCGATGAATTTTCACCGAAAGTTTGTGAATGGTACCACGAAGAGTGGAATATATCCTCCAATGTTATTGTAGTTGACTTTTTTGAGGCGACTGGTATTGTTGATCTTGCTGTTTACTGGAATCTGAAGAGGGGCAAAAAGCATCAATCTTTAGTTAATAAGAATTAATATGGCTGAGTGAGTCTACGACATTGTAAGAATGAATAATTATTGTTTTAATGTAAACAGAAAAGTTTAATTGTTTGGATTATGAAATATAACCCAATGATATAGGGGTGAGGGGCGTTAAACAAACCATCTTCAATCGTCAATAATTCGAGAAGCGTAAAGTGGAATTTCCAATTTTTTTTTTCATACTGAAGGTTTTCTCATTGCGATTCAAAATCAAACACGATTTGTCCGCATAATGACCATATGTGTGATTTCACTGAGAGAAAAATTTTCTAATATGTAGACCGTATTTACTTGAGAGATGTAAATTATTTTCAATGGTTCAAATCTCAGAATGTTTGCGGTTCACAGAACTCGAATGAACTCTCATTTATCATTATCGTTGCGCATTATATCATGAATATATTACACATCGAAATATTGCAACTGCATAACAAGAAAATCATGAAAACAATAGATACTTGAAGCTTGACGAATCTTCTACGCGATTTGAGTGAGTTTATTTGCGACAAAATGAGCTTTGAGTACAAGAATATTTCAAAGCATGAGACCTTTCTCCGGTCATGTGAGGTGAGATGCCTGGGAGAATTAAACTATTGAAGAAAAATTACTCATCTCAAGAAAATATGTTTCAGATATTAGAATTTTTTTCTCAGTTTTGGCAGATTTTCCACTATCAGTTATTTAGTTCGTTGGGATGACTGACTATTAGTCGAAACCTTCGGGGATACTTCGGCCATTCGTGAGCGTACGGAGAGTTCACTCAGAAGTTCTGTCGGGATCCAAGGATGCAGATAGGATGTTGAGGGGGTTCTCGAGTAACAACACCAATGCTGGTTAAAATATAAATATTGTTGCGTATTTGTTCTTTCCCTCTCTCTCAACCACCTTCATGTGCGATCGTCTCTTTCTAAATCGTTATTCTTTTATCTTCGTTCCTAGTCCGCGGATGTGTCACTGCTTTTTATATTACTTTTGATTATTTATTTCCCCCAAAAACCCAAGTTGTCGAATACATACAACAGGCATGATTAAACATAACACTAAAAACATCAGCGCTGTACGTTTCATAACATTCTAGGCCATTTGCAATCAAAATTATAAAATCGAAAAATCTGTCTACAACAAGGCTTTCACTCGGAAGCAAAAAAGAAAAAATTTTGTCAGCTTGGAAACAAGCAGGGGTTCGAGCCTTTTTGGCCGAAGTCATCTGACCGTTACTTTATGTGTTATAACTCTTTTTCTTTCTTTCATTTCTACCAATTCCATTGGTAGTAAGCTTCCAATAGAAGGCATTCGGATAGAAGGCATCGAAACAAATATTTTGAAAAAAAAATTGAAATCGGTTGCGTGGTTTTTAAGCTATTGCACATAAAAGGTTTTCAGAGAAAGTCGAATATCTCGGAAACTACCCATGCGATTGAGCTTCTTTTCAATAAGAAGGATTGTTATCACGAGAAGAAGATTCTCTTCAAATTTCAAGTTGATATCTCAATTTTTACACAAGCTAGAGTGATTACAAGGATTTTTATGAAAAAACAGAAAAACGGAAATATCTCGAAAACTTTGTATGAACGGCCGTATATGTTTTGATTGATTCTGATAGAAGGCATCGAAGCAAATATTTTGAAAAAATAGTACATTAGAGTACAAGGGCACAAATTTCGTTTTCAACGAATGTGTGTACAGACCTCGCCTTCGGCTCGGCCTGTAAACTACACATTCGTTGAAGACGAAATTTATTACCGAGTGCTCTATAATATTTTATGTCAAGTCGTGCAGAAGTCGAGTTCTGAGCAGGCTGCGCGAAGCGCAGCATGCGATAAACTCGACTTATTGCACGGCGCGACATAAAAAATTTTAATCGGTTGACTAGCTTCGAAGATATTAGCGAAAAACGATTTAAAAACGACTAGCTTTTTCTCAAAAACTATTTGATCAAGCGGGCGGAACTTTTGCACAGAGTTAGTCCTTGTTAAGGTCTATAATCTGACAAAATTTCAGATTTTTTGGAATAAGTTTAGCCAATTAATTATTCAATTTTCCAAAAATTGACAACCGGAAAGGTGGCGATGGACATTGACACCGACAGACATGGTCGCCAAACTTCGTATTTTTACGTTTCAGACCATTCTACATCATTTCCAATCAAAACTAGAGAATGTGAAAACAGCATGATTTCAATGCTTCCATTCGGAAGCAAAAAGACTCAAAAATCGATTAATCGGCCGTTGAAAACATCGAATGAAAAACATCGACATTTGAGCATGAAAAATCGATATTTTCGATTAATCGACAAACATCACCTATCTCTAGATTCAAGTAGTGGAGGTCAATAGTATATTTCGTCGTTAGGCCGAAAAAAACTTATTCTGGCGAATATGAGTCCCTCGCCTCGAGCTTGGGCTGCAATCATATGAGGTAGAAAAGTTTTTTTAGGCGGTATAACGAACAATATTTTTTGTCATAACGGCTGCAAGCAGTGATTTACGGACGCGTAGCGTCTGTAAAACGCTGCCTTACACGGAGAAAAAAATTCCAAAATTTTTCTGGAGAAATTCAGGCAAAAATAGTAAAAATTTCGGTACCGCACAATAAAAGCTTGATCCCTGACCGTTTTCTATTACATGAAAAATTCCATTCAATAGTTAAAAATGAGTAAAAATTGTCATTCAATCCCATTTTCATTAGCATATCATGATATTAATTTTTTTAAACCTCTCCTCTATATCCTCCCTCCCATATTAAAAGCGGAGTGTGCGGCAAACATACGTGAAACGTTTGACAGGCAAATGTATCTCTACAGCGTTACACACCTCATTGAGAGAAAATAAATGGCGCTCATTTTATTTCTTAACCGTTTTATCATAACACCAATTAATATTTCGGTGAATTGATATTATGAAAAACATCAACCTGGGGTTTCGATGGGGAGGTATGTGAGAGAAGAGGCTAGAGGAGGCGGCGGAATAAATCATCTGGTCGCGTTGAGTTGATGCTCGTGGTTGCGGAGGAGGGACGAAGAGAGCTGAAATCTTACGAATAAGCGATCGGGTCCTAGGATTCTGGTGGAGTACAGGAAAAGGTTGCCAGCCAGTGTCCTAATTTTTCTCGTATTTCTCGTAAAAATTCACTGTCTCTTCGATTTTACCGTGCTGCACAAGAATTTTTCCCCGCATTTATCTAAAAAAATGACTGGTGCAACAGTACTTTTTCCTACACTTTGCAGTACATTTCGCCTGGAAAGACCATCCGAACCCAATTTACTGTGCGAGCCTGGTAATTTTTCTCGTACTTTTCTCTACGTGTACGGCCGGAATGATAAAACATATATTTTGAGATAGCAATCCCCGAAAATATATGTATCAAAATCTATGTGATCGAACAACAATGACAATAACGACTGTAAATCGCCACTCGCGTGTATGAAAATCAAGAGGTATATACTGTGTCATGGGAAAATGAGCGTAGGATATAACCCAGAGAAACGGTTTTGCGTCCGGATATCAGACTCGCACGGCTCGCTGAATAATTCATTGAATTCAGAACGCGTTCAATGCTTATTTACATAGTTGGGCTCATGGTGCTATTTGAAATCGTCATGGAAGGCTTGAGCGAGAGTGAGAGTTCAAATTGTCACAGAGGCTAAAGGCCCGGTAACCGGAAGCTCATGTGAGAGTTTCTGGATAAAAAATCAAAATAGGGGTTGGAGGATTTCCACGGAAGTTTCACGCTCATTTCCATGGGGAATCCAGAGACCGGAAGTTTTACCTTGGTCAGAGATCATTTGAATAATTTTATATTCATAAACTGATTTGTCGAATCTGTTTTTACTGAATGGAAGCCGGAGGGTAATGGGATCTCGGAATTTGTGGGGTTTCTTACGTTAGTCCGATGCAGTTTGTAGACAAGTCATTCAGAATTTCAGACGTAGTGACAAATTGGACGGTTCAATAAATTGGAAAACCATTTCTTTCGGTTTTGTTACGTGACATTAGTTACACTTTCGACAAAATGGTGGACTAATATGCCCTGCTTCTTCTGAATGATGCATTTACGTGCTCCCGGCACATCCCCGGTGCACTTGTATTTATTGACAATATTATTGGTATCGTAAGGAATTTATGAGGTGTACCATCTGGAAGTGAATCCAGAGGAGTTTGCAGTCACCCATCGACTGAGAATCGATGGCAGTCCGGGAGTCTTCTTCAATTGCTTCAGTCAAACGCATATCTTGGAAAAGGTCAGTATTCTTGTCTCTCACCCTTAAAAAAAAGATACTGTTAAGAAAAATAAAATTCTGTGATGCACCCAAAAATCGTCCTGAGTCGAATCGAAAAATCGGTGTGAATTAAGTCTGACTTTGAGAGATCCAAATCGACACATCATTGTGATTCAAGTCGATTTTTCGATTTGAATCAGATCGACTTCAGTTCAAATTGAGTCGATTTTTCAGCTTGATTCAAGTCGAATTTTGGCTTGATTCAAGTCGATTTTTCGGTTTAATTCAAGTCGATTATTGGACCGCTCTATGTATAACTCCTTAGAATCACCTTGCATCAAGCCAAAAATTTGACATGAATTAAACCGAGAAATCGACTTGAATCAAGCCGAAAAACTGACTTGAATAAAATCGACGAATCGCCTTCAATTAAGCCGAAAAATTGACTCGAATTAAGTCGATGAAACAGCGTGAATCAAGCCGAAAACCTACTTAAATCGAGCCGAAAAATCGACGTGAATCAGGTGGAAAAATCGACTTGACTCAATTAGATTCTTTAACTTGATACCTTTCTTGTTGAAATAATCCACTTTTCTACATATATGGGGTCCAAAATTCGGATTGATGGAGTCCGAGTCACACGACTTGAATCAAGTCGAAAATGGACTAGAAACAAGCCGATATCGACGTGAATCAGTACGGAGTTTTGTGGGTGTACAGTTGAGCACTAAAGTTCGTGAACAGCTTCCATTCTATGTATTCTGTTTACGAACTCTAG